ATTTGAGGCTTTCACGGCGGTGACTATGAAGAAAGCAGTCTTCTGGGATTTGGCACCGTGTATATGTGGTGTTAACCGACGTTTCGGAGGAACGTATCGCCCCCATCTTCAGGGTTGAAGAAAAAGCAGTCTGCTTTACCGTTTCTCACGGTGTTGTCGCTTGCAGATTTCTTAAACTTTTTCTTCAACCCTGAAGATGGGGGCGATACGTTCCTCCGAAACGTCGGTTAACACCACATATACACAGTGCCAAATCCCAGAAGACTGCTTTCTTCAAGATTATGTTACGCTTAACATTATCAAATATTGCTCTTTCTGCAGTAGATGATAAAAATGAAATTTAACTCTTATTTGTCCTATGGCTTAATAATCTAGTGGTGATCTTCATTGGTATATGGTTTGCAAGGAAATGTCATCAGATAATTCTGTGGCATCGTCTGAACATTGCAGCCAAGTGCACATGAACATCAGATTGTAATTCTTATGAACACTGAAAAGTGTGTAAGAAAATGCAAGTTTTTGCATTTGGTTACAAGTAAAAGTCATTCAGAGCCATTAAATGTTGTAACCATTATTAACCTGTTAGTGATTGAAACAGTAGGGTGTAAATTAGTTGACCAGTCTGCCTTGTAAGATAATAATTTACATCCTCACATACAAGACTCCTAGGGGTCCTTGTGGGAGAAGGAGATATCTCAATTTACTTTCCTCACTAGTTGATAATTTAACAGATGTGCTGAAGGTAGCAGTCCTGTTTGTGTTCATTCAGTACTTCTCTCAAAAATGAAGTTGAGGCAGCCTAAACTGTTGGAGGAAAAAGTGATAGGAGCTGTAATGATAGCTCTGTGGAGCCAAATTTATCAAATAAATTTGGCTTCTTACATCAATAAGCCCTCCAATCTGTCATGACAGATGTTCATTCATGTAGCAAATGGGTGTGAATCCCTTGTCACTGCAATCTGAAGTGGGGCCAGTTGTATTGTCCCCCTGATGATGATGGTGATCATGGATGAGTGTGGAGCATTGGTGGAATAATTGACACAGGAAGTGTGAAAAGCAGTATTCAGAAAGAAACATGCCTCAGTACCACTTCATTCACCGTAAGGGTCATGGACTACCCTGCTGTAACAAACACTGGCATCCTTTATTATAACAAAGCTCTAAACTTTGCCTTTTTTTTCTAAATAATTCCATTCTAAGTTTGTCTGTGTATTTCTTCTAACAGGGACTGGCTTTCTGTAGAATTCAGCCTATAACAAATAGGATTCCAGTGTTAATATGTCCCTCCTGTGTATTTCAGTGGGCTGTTCTCTAGTAGATTTACAATAATATTTTGCAGGAAGGTGAAGTCTCACCATATGGACCACTGGCCAGCAGTAGTCACCAGGGTAGCATGAGTGACCTGTCTTTGTACAGCAGTCCATCTATGCCGAACATCTCCCTGGGTCGTCCACCCATCCACTCCAGCTTATCGGAAGGAGCCAAACTTGCACCGGTCTCAGAAGCGGAAGTACGAGCTGCATGTACAGCTAGATTGGGCATGCCCCTTACAGGACAGATGTTACCTGGAACTCTTCCTTACTACCCCACTCTGCCAGGTCAGTGCTACCAGATAATTCTTTTTGCCGTCCTAACTTAATTTTTGTAATATCTGTGGTACAAGTGGGAACTTTCACAAATACGTTAATAGCTCTCACAGACAGATGCTGGGGTTAAGTCTGGTCTTTTGCTGTACATGATGTCATGGTTGTGAGGGCTTTCTAAATATGGAGTTAGGAATAAAAACTCTTTATGATAACTTAAGTGGATAAAAAAGTAAAGGTATCCCTGAAAACAGGCCGTGGAGGCCCATAGAGTTGTGATATGTTGAGGTTCCCAAATTTTCTAGACAATCGGCTGATAGGTGGCGGCAACGTTGTCAGCCCTTTGCGCCGGCTGCCCTTTACCCCCAAGAATATTCCTGATACTCATTTCTGTTAGACGCTGAGTAGACCCCAGGATCATAATGTGGCTGGAAGGACTAGGCCAATTGAAAAAAATCCAATGACCTCATCGGGACTTGAACCCGCGACCTTTCGACTTGTAGCATACTGCCTCCAACCAACTATGCTACCACATGCCCCAAATAAGAGGATAGGTAAATAAATCATTAACCAGTAAATACTAGTGTCATGTAATAAATACAGGCGTTGCAAGAAAACGTATTACACCAGAAGTTTTCTGGAGATGAGCTAAAATACATACAGACCCCAGCTTATATAAGAATTTGGTTTAGAAAATCCTAAAATAATCCAGATTTTACGTAACTTAGACCTTTGATGTAAAGTGGGTGGCAGAAGAAATCTGCAGTACCTTCATTGTAAGTGAAATTAACATTTATCTAATTTTGGAATCCATAGTACTATGTATACAATATTTAATACAGCATGGAAGTCTCTGGTACTTACCCTCTCCAACAGCTCACTGGGATTTCTGACTGTCTGTGATTGAGCAGGTAGAAAAGGTGTTCATTAAATTTTGCTGTTTGAACAAAATAATCCCAAGGCTAGAGAAACCAGAAACATACAGCCTGTTTGCAGTGAACTAAGGATTTTACCCTCTCTCCCTGCACACTGCATCAAGGAATACTGCAATATAGTTTTGTACTGTAACTAAAATATTTCATAGAAATTTGTATCATATTGAACATATTGTCATGTGAATTAATATGCTCTACGTTCTGGCCAGAAATGGATTCGTCTTCATCAGTACTTCCCATTAGTTACAGGCGATTACAGTTGGTCCTCTTACTTTGTACTTCCCCTTCATCATCTTCGTCATTTGTCATCTTCTTTCTCCTCCCTTATTACTGTCCTCTTTAACTCCTATTCATGCATCCTCATGTCCTGCCACAGTAGATTCAAGAAACGGGCCTGGCATGCACATTATACACCCCTGCAGGAATGCTTCCAGCAATTTCTTATGTTGCTTATATGTTCATTGTTGGGATACAGACCATGATGTGGCATTAATAGCAGTAGGCGTCCTCTAATATTTCTGCGTCAACTTTCTGACACTTATGGCCTTATTCACAGTTGAGACTGTGGGCTCTCATAGTATTTGTGTCGAATTGAGTACATAGATTTCCTAATTTATTACATAATGTTGAACATTTTTAGTTTATTTTTAGACTACAGATACATTTTTAATCAGTTAGTGATAGAGGTAAACAATGCTAAGAAACAGTCAGTTTTATTGTATATTTGGATCAAATGGAACAACTGTAAACAGTCTCAGAAATAAGTTACTTATTGAAAGTCAAGAATATTTTGAAGACCACAGCTGCTAGTTTCTCTTTACAGTATGAATGTGTAAACTGATAATAAGGAACTTAGATCCATGTTTGCAGTGTGTGCTTTGGTTACAGTTGTTTCTGTAGTCAGGTTGCAATTTATTACATGTGAGTCAGTAGTAAACCACATCAAAAATATGAACAATTATTAATTTGATTATAATTAAATGATAGTTAACAGAAACTGTCCACTTTCATCATAAAGAATTTAGCTGTAGATTAATGCTTTGTACTTTCTAATTATATGAAATGTTGAAAAGTGTTGAAAGAAGATGTCAAGTATACAGTCTTTTCTACATAATGTATTTTATATGAATATTTTACAGCTGTATGATTTATATCTGCACATCAGAAATGTCAGTTGAATGGATGGTTTCAGTTATTGATGGTGACTACAGCAACCCCAACTCTCCTGGGTACATTCATAAGCAGATGCAGTCCCTGGAACAAGCTCGACCTGGAAACTTGCTGCCGAGCGTGTATCAGGGCGCTCCAATCACAGATACTCAGGTAATCATATTGATAAACTTGCTTAACTTTTAACGTCCAAGGTACACTGATCGGTACACTGATGAGTATGGCCATCGTAGTCGAAGTACCCGAATTTGTGCATTCGCGCATTTAAATGGCCCTAGTGGAAGCCCATGCACATGCCACTAGTAGAATCATATGCACAATCCTAACGCTCAAATATTTGTTACAGGTGGCACATGCAAGGTTGAATAAGCAAGGACACCGCCCTCTGGGACGTACCCAGTCAGCTCCACTACCTCTGGGACATCCTATGTTGGCAGGAAGCAGCATTGCCATTGTTCCCACTCATTATGAGGAGTACCTTCCAGAGAAGCAATTGTATGACCAGCAGCAGGCTCATAACTTTCTTAAGCAGGTTATTGTCATCATTATTGTTAACTAATAAGATGTATGAGGGATAGGATGTCTTTTACAGCCTGTTGTACTCACACATTGTCACCTTCCCTGTTTTCACTGAAGATGCTGTAATACCAAGTTACAGCACCATAACTGTTACATCAGTGCTGAAGAAAATGCAGACACACGGATCTTTTTCAGAAATTTAAAGGTAACAGCACCGCCACTGACCTGCCACTCTGGTTACCAACCAATTGCCTGGACTTCTAATTGCTCTCAAGGTGTAACAGATAAGACCTGACTGAAAGGGTTGAAGATAAGCAAAGCATGAATAGGAATAATGAATGGAAAAAGAAAAATATATTAAATTATGACATGTGGAATGTACAAACCACAGTGACAGGTCTTCTTTTTCTACTTCTGTATCATATAGCACAAAGCAATTAGGTTGTATTTTGATGAAGAACTTTGTAAAAATCCCCACTGTTTCACACACTACAAAGAAACCAAAAGGCGCAAAAGAAACAGGTCATGTATTGGAATGTGTAGCAGATGAGAAGCAAATGAAAGAGCCCATTCTGGTGTGATGCAGTTGATGCTTAAGTGTGATATTGCCAGTTATCCTTATTGGAAAAGCGGCCTCCGTAGTCTAGAGGTAACGTTCCCACCTCATGACTCGTAGTACGCTGGTTCAAACCCGGCGGAGGTCGTGGAATTTTTAAGGGCGGAAAAATTCAGGGAACAAGTCCTCCGGGAGGGACTTTAAGCCGTGGGTCCCGTGTCGTAGCTTTACGGCATGTAAAAGAACCTCATATCTCCTAAGGAGGTCACTGAGCCAAATTTGTAAGGACATTTCCTGCCCAACAGTAGTCTCTAACGCCTCTGATAGATGGGGGAAGCATTATGGATACCGCCAAGCCAGTAGAGGCTGAACTCGCTGGCTTGGTCGGGACTGATGGTAAGCACCAGTATCAGTAGGGTATAGAGACTGGTAGAATATCATAGAGGGAAGCACAATAGATCAAACTGGTCGCGGTGCATGGGGAAACCCACCCTCTCCAATAACTAACTAACTAACCTTATTGGAAGGACAGATAATGCATGTACAAAGAGTACAGTCTTTGGATCATAATGCAGTTTGATTCAGGGTACATACTACCTCTGTGGTCGGAGTCCCAGTTTAATCTGCACAAGTTAGCATGCCATCTGCTTATACTGGTTTCATGTTTGGCCTACTCTCTGTCCCTGAAGATAGAGACCCTCCAAAACATCAAGCTGTCTCTTAAATACACAGCATTTCAATGCACCATGGTGAGAACCTCAGATCCAACCATCCCAAAATGTGACTCAAGCTTTTATGAGTTTATCTGACTGTTAACTGGTAGTCATGCTCCAGTTGAAGGGAAAGAAGATGAAAACGGTTCTGTTTATAAACTCTTTTAAAAAACTTGAGACAATTAAAAAATGTGACACAGTGGTCTTCACAGGGATGTCACAGTTGGAAATATTAAAGTTTTCAATATTGAATCTGAAAGGGAAAGTATTTGCAGTGGAAGTGAGGAAAATTTAGAATATGTTCTGTAGAACAGTATGAATATTTTGAGCATTTTATTTCAACACAAAAGTTATCGCAAATACATGTTAGCCAGAGGTCAGAAGGTATTATTGCTTATGTGTAATATTTATTATATTATAATTATGTTATATATTATATTATATTATTATATTAAAATATATTATGTGTAATATATAATTTTACCATGGACCCAAAATTGCATCAGATCATTATTTAGTTATTTCACCCATTTCAGATACTGCCTCCCCCCAAAATTTGTAATATATATATATTGTAATATTTGTAATGCTTTGAAATAAAGCTGTTACAAGAACTGAGCATAAGGCGATTGAGAGTGGAGTAAGTAAAATGATTCAAGGAATTAACGAAAATACTAGAAGAAGAGCGTAAAACCTTAGAGAAGATACTTAGACAAGAGAAAGAAATTATGTCAAAAGAAGAAGGATTAAGAAAATTTAATGAATATTTACCTAGATTATAAGTGATAACAACGATACAATTCTAGCAGATGCAATTGGATATAGAAAATGCGCAGCAATGGCATAAAAACAAGGAATGTGGAATAATTTTTATCAGACTGTATGAATTTTATATTAGAATTCGTGTATGGGAAGTTCTGTATGTGTCGTGTGATTACTTATTTGTGTACTTACTGCAGTTGGTGCATTGTATTCTTCCTTGCTGTGTGTTTTGCTGCAAGGAGGGTTCATTTTGGCTCTTATATGTGGCAGTTATGCACAGATTTTATTTTCAAGTTCTACCTTTCAATTAACTTGCTACCAACATGTAGTTCAGTGATGCATAGGCTCTGTAAGTCAATAAATTAAAATTTCTGAACATGACACATCCGAGAGTGGCATGTACTCTCAGTAATATCATTGTGGATATTTGAAAGTAATGTTATGTTTATTTGTCTGCAGCAAATTCGGCAGACAGTTTTAACCAGGGTTGGAGGCAGAGGTCAGTCAAGTGGGGGGCAGCTGGATGAAGCTCCAGAAACCGAGGAGTCGGCTGAGGTACACATGATAGAGTCATTCGTATCCCCACTGTGGGAGTGATGGGGAGGATTTTATCATAATTGTGTGTTAGTAATGGTAGAGAGCACTCGATTGAGTTCATTAAATGAAATATTTGTCTTATGTCTTTAATTACAGATTTTCAAACGTACAAATTTTTGTGACTTTAACTTTTGCCATAAGCATGTTAAAATCTATACATATATAACGTGAAACTTGTACTGAATTGGAGATGCAAGTGAGACTTTCATGAAGTATAGTCTAAGTTGACCTTCCTGGTTTACGTTATACTTGTTAGTGAATTTCAGTTATGGCCACCATTTTTAACTTTATAAAAGTTGAGTTTCTTATGAAATTTTCACATTCCAAAGTTTCCTTTTTCTGAAATTATTAGAGAGATGTATGTATGTAGATCATTTCATCCGGGTGTCTGTGTGTGTGTGTGTGTGTGTGTTTGGGAGGGGGGAGAGGGGGCAGACAGGCACAGCTTGTCCTTTACAAGAACAATGAGTGTACAGGCTTCTTAGTGCGGACACATGTTCCTAGAGACAGAAGTACTGTGCCGGTGCATAAATATACTGAGATATTCTTAGTTCAGGAAAGTTAAATGTCATTCAAGTTTGTTCCTACAGTGATATATTTTTTATATAGATGATTTAAAGTACAAATATTGTGTGTACACTTTTCGTGTGCCTGTGATGTTAAGTGTGCTACCTTTGATCTGCACAAATATTATGAGTCCCTTAATAACTTTTCTGGTTGGGGAAAGGATAAAGAAAAGTGTCATGTCATACCATAGCAAATGCTAGTGACCCAAAAAAGTAGGTCGCTGTCTCTTTGTGCAGATGAGGAAGCATCGTTTGATGGTATATAATTTGTGCAGATGAGAAAGCATCATCAGAAAAACTAAGAAGCTAACAATCATCATTCATTGCTGCCAGTACTTTAATGTTAGATGTTCACCAGTAGACAAAGTGAATTTTGTGAAAGAGAGTACTGCATTTCTTCACTGATACCACTTTATCACTGTTGCTGGTGTCAAAACAAGAAAATTATTTTATTTAAAGTTTACCATGGATGGCATTTTTTAGGACTAAGGTAATAATATTTTAATATCTGTGTATATAGGTAATAGATCTGACAGATAGAAAAGGGAGTGAGGAGAGTGAGATCTCAAAACAGCAACGTGACCGGGAGCAGTTCTTGCAGCAGCAGCGGGACTTGATGATGAGAAACACACTTCAAGTCAGCGAGGGTAAGTTTGCTGTCACCGAATGTCTGAAATCTTAACAATGTGAATAGAAATGCTTACTGATAATGGCTCAGTAGCAGAACAGTAATACTGATTTCATAGAACTGACAGCAGTTAAAACTTTAATTATAATTCAGATTCTGCCTCGTCATGATGCTGTGTAGTCTTGTAAGAGGCTGAGGTTATAGAGGGAAGGAAATAATGAAGTCAGTTCTGAATGCAACATATTTTAAACAAATGCGTCTGACAGAAAGTTAAAATAACTATGCATTTGTCTCGAATGTCACAGATGACTTGTAGTGATGGTGGCGGGGGCAGTAGGGGTGGTGGTGGCTGCCACTGCCTACTCCCCCTTCCTCCTCTTTTTCCAGTATTAGGCCTATTGAGGCCTGTTATGGTTATTGCCAAACAGAATCTTCCAATCATTTGAAAGATCTTCTCAAGCATCCTTTTCCTTTTGTTTGATATTTTGATTTTTTTTTAAATTCATGTCAGATTTCTGTATTATATTTTCCACAAATTATGTTATTTTTGGAATTTGTATTTCAAGCAGCTTGTATTTTGAGTAAACACAAGTAAAGAAGTAATAATTTAAAATGTATTGTAGCCGATCAGCACTGCAGATCCATAATGTCTTAAAACTCTTCACTAGGTTCTGCCTTCAGTCCAAGGTCATCTCACATAGCAAGACCACTATCACGGGCATTATCCAGCCCATTAGTAGCCCTAGGCCCAACGGACATTCCTGCTTCATCATGTGTCGCAGTCAGCAATCACTGCAGCAGTGCAGTGGGTGGATCTGGACCACACAGACTTACAACAGGACTGGCATTTGACAGTCTGATGTTGAAACATGCCTGCATCTGTGGTGATAATTCGAGTCACCCAGAACATGGGGGAAGACTTCAGAGTGTGTGGGCTCGTCTGATGGAAACGGGGTTGGTCCAGAGATGTGACCGTGTGAGATCCAGGAAGGCTACCTTGGAGGAGATACAAGCCTGCCACAGTGAAGCACACGCTCTGTTGTTTGGTATGTTTTGTGGCAGGAATATTGAATTTACATGAATTATGCACTTAGTGGTGTGAGTAGCTGTTAAGTGCATTGTGACTGTGGTTTATGCACCAAATTTTTGAGACGATGACATTTGAGAAAATGCATAATGGTGAATTTTTATAATGAAAAGTTAAACAGTTCCGTCTAGTGTGACTGGTGAAGATTTTTCTTATTTCAGTTATTTATGCCCTTACATGTTTCGGTCTTCAGAGACTATCATCATAGGGACACCTTTACATCAATACAGTTGGAAGTTACTATTACAATATATGTTCTGAACATTAAAATATATACATATAATATTAATAATATACAATTGGGTATAAAATCTAAAGTTTTTACAAGTACTGCGGCTGTTCCAGTACATTAAAATATTTGTAATGTGTTTGTTAAGATTTTATTGGAATTTATAAACCAAGTAGGTTCATGTCATCTTTCTTATTATTTCTCTTGGCGGGGGTCGAACGTGTGCCACCTTGTCGTTCTCGAGAAGAGGGTTCTTTGATGTTGTCCTGTATGTGTATGTGGCATGTTGTGTTGGATTTTTAGTTAATATTTTCCTGTCCAGTTAAAAAAAAAAGCAGTGATATAGGTAATACTGGCATGTTTGTTTTTAGAAGTTTTTATTTCTGCTAGTTGGCTTCAGTTCCATAGGTGAGGGATATGGTTTGTGACTTCATGAAGGAAACTAACTGAATAAATTTCATGAAAAACATGTTTTCTGATATTAATTTCTTTCACATATTTGTATTAGGAGTATGCAGTTAATTCAAAACATTGTTTTTTGTGCAGATATATTTCATAATGTAAGATCATCTTACATTCAGAACAATCTTCTGTTTTTGGGAAAACAGAGAGGGATGCACTTTAATGCATGATGGGAAAGTCACTAATGTTATAAATTGAGTACCTACCTACCACTGGGCACTACAGCCCTGGGTGAGCTTTGGGCTCCTCTACAGCCAGTCTCCACAACCAATGCGAGCTGCCATAGGAATGGATCCACGCATGATGACCCAAGGCTGGTGGTTAGGTTTCTGAACAAAATTATTTTTGCAGGATGAGGTTAGCCTCATTCCCAACCCCCAACCCCCCAACCTGGAGGACCAGGGTATCTCTCTTAGTCTGGACTCTGCCCTTTGACCCTTCTGACATAGGTGACCCTACCACCAGCATAGCTCTCTCCTTATAAATTGAGTATAGTGAAGAAAATTCCTGTTCTTGTTTATATTCTCAAAATTGCTTCAAATTCTTGTCTCAGACTGAAAAATCATGCTTGCACATGTCTAAAATGAAAGGTTCAGCTTCGAACTGTGCCAATGTGAAATTGGGAAGAGGGTTCATGATGTTTTATCAACTGGATAGTGTATGCATTGTTGAATAAGGGTATGACTATGAATAAGGAATTGTAAATGTTGTGTAAAGAGATATTTTGGTGATGGAACCGAGGATCCCCACGTCATCTCAGAATCTTATTGCTTATAATGCAGCACACAAGATCAAGGGCCTGTCGTCACTCAGGCAGAAGATACTTTATCTTTGATGTGAACTCAGCATTGAGCAGGCTGGCTTGGGCAGTAGTGCTTCTTTTTTGTACTCTTGAGGTGCCTGGCTCAAATCTCAGACAGGACAGTATCCTGGCCGAGGATTTCATGGTTTTCCTCAGCCCCTTCAAGCATATGGCAGAATTGTACCTTGATATAAGCCATGACTGTTTCATTCTCCACCCTTCCCAATTCTTCTTCATACATTAATTATCCTACCATTTCATTTTGCATAGTCAGTAGCTATTGGCAGTAATATTAAATAAACTAGAAGTAAATAAAATCAGCTAACAGTGTGAGTGAACTATGTGATTTTGCTGTCTGAATGTGTCTGTTACTGTGCCCGCTACCACTCTGTCAACTAAAATCTGGGTCTCATATCTTAACATTACCTGTGCTTTATAGGCAGGTTTTCTCAAAACCTTATGATTTTTATGTATTCCAGTTCAGTGAATATCAGTGGTGTGTAGTAAACACTGGAGTAGTGGAGATAAGCACATAGTGTGTAAAGATTTATACACAGAAGCACAGACCTCCAGAAGATAGGGCTTGAATAATAAATTTTGTGACATTATTTTATTCACTTAATGTAGGACCTGATACTCCTATTCCTAACATGTCAAAGGCTACATACCTTTTATTCAATTTCAGATTCCAAAATTAGAAAAGATTCCAAGCACAATATGAACCCATATCACATATATATTTCGTATAAAGTAGGATGAGGTGCTACATAGCATCTGTTTATGTCATTCTCCAGGTACAAATCCATTGAATCGTCAGAAGTTAGACATGAGCAAACTGTCACAGCTTCCCATTAAGAGCTTTGTGCGTCTGCCTTGTGGTGGTATCGGTGTAGATTCAGACACGACGTGGAATGAACTGCACACAGCGCCAGCTGCTCGTATGGCTGTTGGTTGTGTTGTTGATTTGGCATTCAAAGGTGAGTATGTAGTGATACAGTTAGTCAGAAAAGAAACATTTCTGATTTTCAGTAGTTTTGAGTTTTTATTGTTTTTTTGTTGTTTTGATGGGATGGAGAGGACAGGCTAATATACCATCCTGCTCGCTGGTTCCAAGTCCACAGGGAGTAGGCAGAAAAATAAGTCTGGTTGTTTTATAGCCGCTCCACATAGTTGTGTGAGCAAAGGAAGGTGGGAGCATTTGAGCATGCTGCTTTTTCGAGAAACACCACAGACTCAAGGTCGTCCCTTCTGGATAGTTTTGGAACTAAGGAGATCGACATCACCTGGATGAAAATATGTGGAGATCATGACTTGAATCAGTCTTGGTGAAGCAGCAGTTGAGTTGGGAGTGACAATGAACTTAGAAGCAGTGTATGTGGGGAAACAGTATGTGCCGTGAAACACAAATAGTGAGTACAGTGGAAGTTGTACCAACAAGATGATCAGAGAGAATAATGTGGTTGCATGCTGTGAAATAGGGGTGGAGTAGAGGAGCTTACATCAAGACTACTGAAAAACTGAAAATAACTGCTCCAGACAAGATAAACGTTGCAGTATGATGCGTCAGTTAGCATATGCAACTGGCGGGGAATGTAAGGAAGCGTAACAGCTTGAGGAAGGTATGGAGGTGGTCAGTCCATGGGACTTCTTTACATGCCGGCCTCAGTTTGATGTGCTCACTCCCCCCCAATGATGTCAAAATGCAAGAGAGAATTTGAGAGCCATGATTTGTTTATTTTGCAGTACTGGACACATGTTGTCACATTGTGTATAAAGAATAGCCGATCACTGTTTCAGGTTTTCCCAGATTATGCCACATTTCATTAGTTTGTCAGTAATGGTAGCATCTTTCAGGACTCTGATCCTTTTCCTCTGTTGATTCAAATATATGAGGGCAGATCGAAAAGTATTTGCCCCCATTTTTTCAGCCACAATATTACACAAGCAGGGAAATCAAAATACAGGCAGTGTTCTAAGCACCTTTGACTATTTTTCCACCAAGTCACCACCCTGGTTCAGGCATTTGTCCCATCACACCACTGGTTTGGAGATGCCACTGTTGTAGAATTTGGCCGGTTGAGCATGGAACCACCACCGGAGAGCAGTTTTTACATCGTCATCGGAAATGAACCTCCAGCCTGCCAGGAATTCCTTCAGTGGACCAAACACATGGTAATCACTGGGGGCGAGATCTGAACTATATGGTGCATGCTCCATAATCTCCCATCTGAATGACTGCAGTCGGGTGGCGGTCCTGTTTGCCTCATGAGGCCTGGCATTGTCATGGAGGAGAACCACATCGTCCACGAGAATCCCCAGGCAGTGTTCAGTAAATCCAGTTACCAATCCAAACCCCATGTCTAGTCACTAACATGTGACAGTATATAATACCTATACATGAAGGAAAATTACTGTTATGTAAATCCTGATCTTCAGTGTTTTAAAGTAGATGGAATGATGAGTTTTTTAACATAACATTCAGTTGTTGAGCCCTCATCATTATCCAAGACTGATGTAGTATGCCACTAACTGCAGGAAACTGAGGCACAAACTGTGAAATAGCAGCAGCAACCATGAGCTGATGACACCTATTAAGGTAAAGTAAATGTGTTCCTGTACCTATTCAGGTACAGGTATGGGGGAATGGTGGTATAGCTCATAGCTGTGTTTAGTCGCAACCTTAGAACTAGATGGAGATGAGCAGTTATCTTCACACCCTAGACACTTTTGCCTCCAGGGCTAAGAGCCCATGGTACTCACTGAACACAATGAAAAATATAACTAAGTAGAATAAAGTCCATAAATATGGAAGGATGCATATTTTGTGTAGAGTATTAAATGTATTATTTTTTCTGGTGGCTACAGGAGGAAAAACGATTTGCATTGTTTCATGGAAAGAGGTTCTTATGTCAACTAACTATAATAAAATAGGAAGGGTCCATGTTTCCATGTTGATACATAATTTATGTAAAATATACTGTTATGATTTCTGGGGTGTTGTGACTATAGACGGGGTATGGATTGGTGAATGGCTTTATTGACCACTTGTATACACTGTACAGATCACTGACACACACACAGACTAGTGTCCTCAGTCTATTACAGTCCCCATTAGCCATTTTCTGCCAACAGATTTAACACAGTGGGGATTCCCCAGCTTCTCTCACTCAGGTCCTCTTGTTACAGCTGCCCATGCAGAATTTTTGTCACCTGACAACTCAGGTAACTGGGTCCCAGGCTGGCAGCCATTTCACACTAACCATCAAGCTACTTCACGTCACTTCACTCAACTGAATTTGCTGACAGCTCTCAACTCCGGAATTGGACTGACCCTGTTTATAATATTTTGGCATGGACCACATAGAAAACACCATTCCCATTATTATAGTCCAACAATACCTCAATTGTTGAATGGGTATCTGTTGTTGCAGGAAACGTTTTCCAAGCAGTTTCCTAGTGATAGCCCAGGTATTTTTGATGTGTTTACCAGCTGTTGGTTAGAATTGGGCGTTTGTTTATCCATCTATTGCACAGCAATGGCTGTATGCATCCGTTTCAAGGTCTCCGCCCAGCAGCGGGTCTGTGCACCACAGTACTTATTAAATGTGATGTGATTTCTTTCAGCTGCTGCAGGAGATATAAAGAATGGGTTTGCTGTAGTTCGGCCACCTGGACATCATGCTGAGGCCTCTCAGGCAATGGGCTTCTGCTTCTTCAATTCAGTTGCTATTGCAGCCCGTCTGCTGCAGCAGAGGCTGGACATGCAGCGGATTCTCATTGTGGACTGGGTTGGTGCATCATTTCAGCATATTGAGTAGAATTTCTTGCTAGTTTATGGCTGAAACAGATATTCTTGCCTTTGAATTCTACCAAGCAGGTTGTGCATGAACCATTAATTTACATAAATTGTAGTGTCATTAATCTAATTAGAATTACCTCCACTTTCTAAAGGCCCATACCTGCAGAGTATAGCTGTTCGTGTAAGAAACATCCATTCATATGTAAGATTTGAAGTTTTCTTGGAGCTTTTGAACTCTAAACTGAGTCAAATCTTAAAATGGATATAAATTGTCACTGAAATATTGACTTGGGATCACTGAAATTAAATGCTTAATGAAGGAAAGCTTTAAACTGAGAAACATTAGAAGGGAGTTCCACTGTAAATTTTTCTGCAGCTTTAATGGACTAATTCCTCCGTGATGTTGACACTAAGAAATGATATGTTGTTTTTCCCTTGTAACTTTTCTGTTTTCATGGTAGTTACACATGTTCACTTGTTTATTGTAGGATGTGCACCATGGTAATGGAACTCAGCAGATGTTCTATGATGATCCAAGAGTGTTATATCTCTCTATTCATCGTCATGATGATGGTAACTTTTTTCCAGGCACTGGAGGACCAACAGAGGTAATGGTCAGATTACAGCTTTTTCTTTGTATTTAAAAGCTTGTCTTGGAAAGAAAATCTCATGTATTTACTAAGTCACTTTTTTGACATTCCTGTTACATAGCCAGCATAAAATAGTATTAAAGTAAGCAGATCATTGAAATAGTTTGCTATATTATAACAGAGTTGCAACCAATCTCGTACTGACAGAGCAGTTTTGCCAGGTGGGAAAGTACATTGTCTTAGATCTAATATTTGTTGTGATTATACAGAGAGCTATAATACCTGTTGATTACTACCATTGCTATTGCCTTTACGAGGGAGTTGTATGTCAGTTGTGATAGAGTAAAATGAAGTAATGAACAAGTATCTTAGATATGTAAGATTTGAGGCTTTCACGGCGGTGACTATGAAGAAAGCAGTCTTCTGGGATTTGGCACCATGTATATGTGGTGTTAACCGACGTTTCAGAGGAACGTATCACCTCCATCTTCAGGGTAGAAGCAGACTGCTTTTACCGGTTCTCACGGTGTTGTCGCTTGCAGATTTCTTATACTTTTTCTTCTACCCTGAAGATGGGGGCGATACGTTCCTCCGAAACGTCGGTTAACACCACATATACACGGTGCCAAATCCCAGAAGACTGCTTTCTTCAAGTATCTTAGATGTCTTTCTGACAGGTGTGTCAGTAAAAAGAATTCCTATGCCAGAAGTGGCAGATCTACAGCAAAATATGGCATGAAGTGTAACACAGCAATAGAATAGCGGAAAAAAGAAATTGCCCTGTGCTTAACTAATTAAGTACTATGCCATGAAGACATGGGGGGGAGTGGGTATATAGACCCTTGTTTCGTTGACCCTGGCACTAGTTGGAGGTGACTGGTCAGCTTCACACCCCAACTGCATTATTACCAGGGAAAGAGACCCTTGTACCCATTGGATTTGAGGCTGAGTGGGCCCCAGACCCTACCAGGACTTGAACTTCAACCCCCCTCAGTCATCCAGCCTGTAGCCAGTCGCTATTCTGACTGCACTGTACCAGCTTCCAAATAGCATAAAGAAGCAAGAGTGAAAATGAGGTTTCTGGGAATTCTTATGGGTGACCAAATTTTGGCATATGTGACATTTAGGGACAGATAGTAAAAACAAAAGGGCATGTAGGACAACGTGGAAACAGATAGAAGGCAAAAGCTGTTGGTTCTAAATTTTATCAGTTAACACAAGCAGTAGATGAGGTGGTTAATGATGATAAACATATCCAAGGAACTAGGGAGAGGCAACAGGCAAAGTATGGCATTTTAGAAGTCGCTTTCTGATTGGAGGGACATGGTAATGAAGGATATTTTGATTCATTGAAAGTGAAGGAATATTATTTTTTGAAGGATGTGAAGAGGATTTGCAATTATAAGCTACAGTGTTGATTATTTATCCAGATTGGGGAGAAGTGGTGGGTGCCCCTTAATTTTAGTGAGGTTTGCCATTCTTTTGCACTAATTACAGTTTGGTCAAAATACTGAACTCTAGCCAACTTAAAATTAGGTTACAATAGCACCTCTCAGCTGAAGTTAGGAGGTCAAGGTGGGAAATGAGTTCCCTACCTAGTGTATGTGAAAAGAACTGGGTGCAGAATATTTTTAAGAAGACATCAGCTTGCTGTGGATAGACTCTTTAGATAATATTATAGTCAATTTTACCTACCACACAACATATTTTTATTATTATTACACAGCATGTTTCGACCTCAAGAGGTCATCCTCAGGTGTACGAACACAGCTGTGTAATTACACACAATCACATTCGTCTTCTCACTTATTCGACCCTGTATCTTATTCAGGCTCACGCCTGATATATTATTGAGCATGAGCCTGAATAAGATACAGGATCGAATAAGTGAGAAGACGAATGTGATTGCGTGTAATTATACAGCTGTGTTCGTACACCTGAGGATGACCTCTTGAGGTCGAAACATGTAGTGTACTAATAATAAAAATATGTTGTGTGGTCGGTAAAATTGACTCTAATATCAATTAAATACACAACAGGATGCAAGAAACAATTAAAGACTCTTAGATAACTTAGGCTGTCTTAAACAGACTGAATTGAAGCAGTTAGAAATCAGATGGGCAACCCTAGGGTCTTGCAATTTATTGAGATGCCAGGGATGAATCAGAAAAAAATGGGTTGATGGAAAGGAACTGATCTTGTGGAAGCTTCTTGTCTCAAAGGAGATTGTAGACAGAGAAGCTGAGCAGTGTTTGAACGTGATGCCATGTAATGGTCTCCCATCACAGGAGAGGTGGGACATGGCTGTAGCAGTAGGAATGATGTCACCATGTGAAATGTTCAGGTTATAGCCGGACAGTGCAATCTCAGGAACTGAATTGTGAAAAGTTAGGGTGATGGATTATTGAAGGCTAAAGGTAAGGATTAGGGAGACTGTAATGGAGTTTTTAAGGGAACACAGTAGCATTGTTGGTTGAGGCACAATGCTGCAAACCAGAAAATCACAGGTTCAATTCCTGATGAGTTCACGGAATTTTTCAGTTTACCTAATCCTTCCAACTACACTGTGGCCTTGTGGTTGACTCAGCCTCTAACAGAAATGAGTACCAGGAATCTTCTTGGATGTAAAGGATGGCCTATGCATAAGGCTGACAACCTCACTGCCACCTGTGAGCCAATTGTCTAGAGAATGTGGGAGCCTCGATGTCTCACAACCCTATGGGCTTCAGAGCCTGTTATGGGAATAGCTTTACCATTTTATAGGAGTTACGATGAAACAAGTTATTAAGACAGCACCACACGCTGCTAGAGGGTACACACAAGCAAGGGGCGTATTACAGACAGCAGATGCAGCAAAACAACGGCCTAACAAACAGAAAAACAAGCTGTAGAAATGAACCTTTTGGAATATCACATAGCTCCAAACAAGTGGACAACACCCCTTATGAGGTGGAATAGGATATTATGAAAAAATTTTAATAGAAATTTTAATGGATTTTAATTAATTATTTACGTTATTTTTAAGTGGACTGCAGTGTGTGGTTTTGTGCACAATAGAGTAGTGTAACAGTTTGCATGCCTTAAAGACACCTGAAGATGGCCATCTTTGGCCGAAACATGTTAAATGGTGAATAAACAATTGTTGCGTTGTTGACGGACTGTGGATAGAGACGTTCAATTAAAGATTTGCAACAGAATGCTGAAATACAGAATTATCATCATCATAATCATTATGTCTGTTGCAGCAGTTGCATTTGTATGTGAATAATTTATGTCTTGAGTGGTTGTTCTGATGTTGCCAAACAGTGCAAGACTGATATTTTGGTTTTTCTGTTACTGCAGTGTGGTGCTGGTGAAGGAGTTGGGTTCAATGTGAATCTAGCATGGTCTGGTGGCCTTGCCCCACCAATGGGAGATGCAGAATACTTGGCAGCTTTCAGGACTGTTGTTCTGCCTATTGCAAAAGTAAGAGGCAAATTAATGAAAGGTTTATGAAAATGTGTAGAGAGAAGTTTACAGGCATCTTCCTTAACAAATTCAGATTAATACATGTCATTACCACATACCTAGAAGTAGTGAAGAGTGAAAGGTACATTAGTGCTGGTGCTTTTCAGGCAGCATAAATCTTTCCTTCAGAGTGTTGTAAGAGATGGAGTTCCTACATATGCTTTTACATTTGGATTTCTTCATATTGCACTTATAAGTTTCTGACAGCAGGTGAATACACTGCAGTACAGTATATTTTCATAAGTGAGAAAATATGTGTATGCAATGCACTGTGCATAAAAAGTGCTTTACATTTTTTGTTTAATTTTTAGATCATGCATTAATATTTACTTACAGTTTTGGATTTTTAAGATATAATTTTTCTATGGTAGTAAAATCCAGGGTCCCAGTACTGTTACTACCAAAGCTCACTATTGGACACAATTCTGAGCAAGCTTCAACCATCCCAGTCCTCATAACCTACTTCCTGAAGGTCCATCATAATAGTATTCTCCCATGTCCAAAATTCTTTATGATACATGCCTAGCCCATCATGCCTTAATAATGTGGGGCCTTGTGATTTTTCTAACATTTACATAAGTGTAGAAGTAAATGTCCATTAAATGAAGCCAGTTGATTGAACATTTGCTGAATAGGGTTAAAACATGCTGCATCAAAGTTACCATTTAAGCATTTTAAATTCTATAAATACTGATGCTGGCAGACTTCCTTCCTTCCTTCCTTCCTTCCTTCCTTCCTTCCTTCCTTCCCTTTCTTTTATACATGCTGCATAGATTATGTTTTGGTGTGTTCAGTTTGGCAGAATAAATTTAATTTTTCTATATTTATTGTAGTTGGCTATAATGTGCGGAATGTTGAAAGCTAGAAATGTGATTTTGAAATGTATACTATTGTAATTATTATGAAACAAAATAATATTATTTTGTTATATTTTCTAGGAATTTGCACCAGAAATTGTCTTGGTGTCTGCTGGTTTTGATGCAGCTGCTGGCCATGCTGCTCCGCTTGGAGGTTATAAGGTGTCACCCGCATGTTTTGGTCACATGACACAACAGCTCCTAAAGTTAGCTGATGGAAAGGTGATCTTGTCACTGGAAGGCGGGTATGATCTTCCGTCCATCTGTGACTCAGCTCAAGAATGTGTCCGTGCTTTGCTAGGAGATGACCCCAGTCCTTTGCGAGAGGAGGAGTTGATGCGATTGCCATGTCACAATGCTATTGACACATTGCAGAAAACAATTGCCATTCAGGTATGTTCAAAGCAGATATGTAGTGAATCTACCATTTTTGTTTCTGTGCAGTGTAGTTGTCATACCCCTAATGAATTAGAATGCTAACAAATGCGTTTGATAGGACCAAGGTTTGGTGTAAGTTATTTAGGACATGTAAGTTACAATCCGAATCATTTAGGAATAGGGAATTTAAATGTCCCACGGTGTCACTGATGTCTGGATTGTAATGTTGGGGTAATGGTATTGTGGGGCTTTCTTAACGTGTGTCTTTGTCATTACTCCTATGACAACCCACTTCTTCGGAACAGTTTGTTGGCCCTGAAAAGGACCGTGGCTGATGAGATGATTGACCGGCGAGGTAGCGCGGCGCGCGCCGGTAAGGAGAAAGGCTAGTGAATGGCGAGTGGCCTGGCCGCAGTGCGGCCGTGGCTGGAGGTTGCTTGGTTGCCGTGCGGCAGCGTGAGTTGGAGGTTGCTTGATCGCTGCGCGGCAAATGGCGGAGGTTGCTGCTGGTGGTGAAAGGCTAGTCGAGCGCGGTCGTAGGAGCCATGAGGCAGTGGCTACGCCAGATGGCCAGTGAGTCGAACCGTAACACGACCACCGGCGAGTCCAGGCGCTGTGCCCCAGTGAGTCGGGTGTGAGAGCGCGGGAGGGCCGAGGCAGTCGTGCCCGGCGCAGCCTGCCGATGTCTCCGAAGACCGAGCGCTGGCGACGAAGCCTGCTGGTTGAAGTTGCTTGCTCGTAGACTGATGATGAACTGAATTAAACTGCATAACTCGACTCTGGGGTCGCTCCTTTTTATACGCTGGTCGGTGGGGCGGAGCCAAACTCGAAAGTGAGGAGCAAGAATTGATTGGCTAGCGCGCGTAATGGTGTAGACGCGGGCTATCGCCGAGCGTAGTATAAATGCGATCGTTTGAAGCAATCTGATTGGTTAGCGCGCGTGATGGTGAAAAGTGATGTGAAGAGCGAGCGTTGCCGAAATGCGTGATAATGTGGGATGTTCCCACAGTATTATTATTGGAGGGGGTGGGTTTTCCCCACGCACTACGACCAGTTGTTGATCCATTGTGCGTCCCCCTTTGATTTCTACTGTCCTTCCAGTACTGGTGCTCGCTATCAGCCCCGTTCTGCCAGCGAGGTCGGCCCTCTCTGGCAGTGGTACCCGATACTTCCCCATTGGAAACTACTTGGGCGGGAAACTTTTGCCTAATTTTGCTCAGTGGTCTCCTAGAGACATGAGGATCTTTTACGTGCCGTAACTCTACGACACAGGACCCACGGCTTAAAGTCCCTCCCAGAGGACTTGTTCCCAGAATTTTTCCGCCTTTAAAAATTCCACGACCTCCACCGTGTACCTTGAGTCATGAGGTTGGAACGTTACCCTAGACTACGGAGGCCGCTTTGGGGTAATGGTATTTATATTGAAAACTGTGCTTTTGGGCCTGCTGGAACCGTGCATGCACCATCATCGATGATGAAGGTTAATGCATTCTGTTTCAAAATAAAGTAGGCATTGTGAGACTTATGAATTTGATTAAATCATGAGAAAGAATCTCTGAATTTCAATTCAAAACATTCATTTTTCAGTCTTGAATTTCAAGAATTTTCTGATAATTGTTTTTGCTTTGCACATAAATCTATCAGCCATCATGAATTTGAGTGATATACACACAAATTTTATAAGACGTTTTTAATCCCCTTTAAGTTTTTCGTGTTTTTATGCCACAGTTTATGCTCTTTCAGTATATTTCTGTATATGATGAAGGGTGTGTTCATCCATTACATTTTCTTTCATGTGTTTTTGTGGTTGATATTCAGAGCTGAAGCCAGTGATCATATGGATTATGTTTCATTGTGATACTCAGCTGGTATGATGAGAGGCCTGGGGCTTCAGCACCTATCTTATATTGCATATTAGCCAAGTTTTTGGAAGAACTGTAATATTTGCTTGTAACATATTTCTTTAGCATGGATCATGTCAAGCAGAACAGCATATATCGAGCATACTGAAGGTGCCCCTCAACATTGGCTTTATATCAAGGGTCTGCTGTATATATTATATATATATGAGAATGTAAAAGCGGTAAAAATTCCAAACAAATTCTCAATATCCAAGCCTCTTGCAGCTACATTTAGCTGTGTATTGATGAAGTGAGAAAGAAAAGAGTACATGTGAAATAAGGGGCTCAGGTATTCTGACAGAAGTTGATACAAAGTTTATGGTTTAGGGAATACATTGGATGTAGTTATTTATGTGGATCTGGGCTCTACATTTCTCCCCTGTCCTTTATGTTTGCATAGACTGGATTACTTTTTGAGCACAGTAAAATGTTAAGCATGATTCCAACATTCTGTTATAGCTGGATTCTTTTACCTTTCTCTAACCAGAAAATTTGGTTACCAGCATGAGTGAAGAGATTCATATCAAACTAGAATGTATTCTGTTGACTTTATACATTGGTAGTTACTGAGTATGTAATGTCCATGTACATTTATTTTACCTGTGGTTGCTTTGTTTGAAGCTCCCTCATTGGCCATGCATCAAGCGCACAGCGCATACAGCTGTCTGTTCAGCTGTGGAAGCTGTACAAAAGGAGAAGGATGAATCAGAGACAGTGACTGCAATGGCTAGTTTGTCAATGCAACAACAAAGCAACAGTTTACAGTAAGTGTATCATCATCTTTGGAGTGTTGTCATACTTGTGTAGTTTGGCTGTCACTTCTATGAAGCATGCAATTTGTTATCCATTTGGCATATAGACAGTTCATTAGGAATTAGAAAATATTTACATTCTCAAATTCATGTATAGATACTAATTTTCAATTTCATGTAGTTGTTATGGTGATGTAATTCCACATAGAAAGTCAATGAATACAGATATGAAATAATACATAAAACACAGAAGTTTATGTTAAATATTTTCCTTCTCTCTCTCTCTATCCCCCCACCCATTTTTTTAACCTTCAGATTGGCACTCTTATAATATGTAATTTTTGTTGCAGGACACCTGAGCATTCCCGAGGCTCATCAGAGGAACCAATGGAGCAGGATGATGCTAAGTGAAGCTGTTGCAGAGTGCTGGACTAAGCTGCCATGTTGTGGGCATATCACATCTATTGTCAGCAAGTTGTGGGTCGGTTGGTGGTGAAAATAGGTTTGGTTTTGGAGGTCTGGATGCTAGATACTTTGTCTGCGGAACAGTGGCGGATGTCTATGCGAGGTGTCTGTGATTTGGCTACTTTAAACGAAGAGCTGAGTACACCAAACTATGAAAATGTATGCTCTTACTTCTCTGGTGGTTAGCTTTCAATTTTTACGAATGACAAATACTTTCGTAATTTCAAGAAACAAGGCTAACAAATTGTAATGAGGCTGTGTTTAGACTGTTATGTTGGGAAGCCCCGGTGAACTGCCAACGTTCGTGTTACTTAAAATTCCTAAAGAAGGGGGATGGTAAGTGGCATTAGAGCAATTTATGAATGCTTTAGAGCTGAAAAATATATCTCAGAATGGCTTTAAGTAGCTGACATAGTTGAATTCTCTTTAATGGTGGAATTGAATTTAATTTATAAAGGGAGATGGACACCATTTCTTCACGTTACATTGTAATGCCACCTGGGGTTTGATGACTGATCAGTTATTTTGGATGATGGTTGCTCAATTTCATGAGAATTTTTCTCCCTTTTTGTCTTTTCATTGTTGGTGTTTGGTAGTATTTTGCTGTACGCTGCTGACTGGAGAGAGCAGAAAGGCTGGTTGGTCATGTTTGGTGCTTTGACATTATCAGAATGAAGAAGTCAGATGTATTTCATGACTGTTCTTATAAAGGCAACGAAATACTATGAAACTTGTTGGACTAATTGGGTCAGAGAGTGCCTCAAATCATACAAAATTGTTTCTTTAAAGTAAAGAAAAGACAGTAGTATTAGTGAGCTGATGCTGAACACTTGAACACAGTATAGGTTCAGTCATGTAAAAGCTTATAATTAGATGAAATATTATTGTCATTGTATTTATAGAAGATTATTCATATGTGAGAAATATTTAAAACAAAAAGTGCAGGACACTTATTTATAGAGTTTTCTAAGATCATTGGAGCAAAGTTTTCCATTTGTTATAAAAATTGTGGCATTGCAAAACAATCGAATTCTAAGATTCTGTACAGAATGTTTCTATAATAGTTAATAATCACTAGGGCTGAATTGAGTTATTAATATACCTTTTTTTCAGATGCTGAAGTGATAGTTGTGCAGTACAGTTGTTAATTTTGGTATTTATATACCATGTATCTTTAAAACTGGCTAGATTGTTTGTATGTTGGAAAAACAAAAATAACAAAAATAATGTGTGATAATTGTGCATACAGAAAGAAGAGCATTTATTTTTATGTGAAGCATTTTAAATTTCAAACATGTTGTAATAGATAACATTTTTTCAAGGTAAATGGAGTGTGAAATATGGCAAAACATAGAAGAACGTTTTCAGGGGTTCTGTTTAAGATTTGTGGTTGAGGTGAACAGATGTAATACAAATATATAAAAGTCTTGCTGTCCATGCCTCTGTTGAAAGTGTGAGAGATTTTATTGTGAAGCTTCAGAGGAAGCTTGCCTAATATTGTTAATTGTTTAGAATATTTTATCCATATGGTTAATTTTTAAAGAATAGCAAGTGACAGTTGATATGATATAATGTGAAGGGTTGTGACTGGATGTATATAGTGTACTTGGAATCATAAGTTTTATATAGATACTGTCTTACATTCCTGTTGGAGTAACATAACTAAAGTTGAAAGTGTTTTCCATACTTTTTCTAAGTTGATTCATCATCAGAAGGAGGGATATGTGTCTGTGCAATTTTGAGGGCAGGACTTCAGTGCTCTGTTTCTCAGTTGGAGATAATGTCAGTGTTTTATGTTATAAGTAACCAAAACTGTTTCATACATGTTCAGTATTAGTAGAAACATATGCTTTTAACTAATTAATTTTGGTTGAAAAGCAAATTGGTGTTTTAGTTCTGTTGGCTGTAAAATTCCAATATGATCAATTAATATGTTGCTTGGAGAAAGTGGACCTGTTGGTGTAACATATAATGTGTAATACATAGTTGAACAATATTAACAAATTAGATTATGATGATCATGTTGAGTATCATTCTTTAGTATGAAACTGATCTATATGAACTGGATCCCTGTAATTTTTGCAGTGTGATCGAATGGGCATACACCCAGCAGACAAACAAGCACAGATTGTATTTATTTATTTAAAATATGTTGAGTCTTAGACATGTTTTCATCCATGTGGAGCACCTATTAGAATCACAGTTTGTCCGTCTGTCTGTATGTATGAAACAACTTGAGAACCACTGAACAGTTTTCATGAAATTTGATGTTGGGTAATTTAACTAAAATTTGTCAACCCATTCCAATTATGGATGAAATCAGAGGCTTCATTAGAGAACATATTACATGAAGACCTATGCACATTTGTTCATATATTTCAAACTTAAGTCATGCATAACGAACCAAATATTTATGAGAGAAAAAATTGAACTGAAGTTTTAGAGAAAAATGAAACACATTTTATGCCTGATGTACATTTTCAGTAAGTCTTAAGGATTTATAGATAATTGAACAAAAGGGAGTGAACATGCCGAAATTGTTACTCTGTGTGTACATTTCCTAACTTGTGTGGAATGTAATAAATGATAACGCGAACTTCACAACGGATTGTTAATTTGTGAAACGTAAGTTGTTTTACCGTAATTTTAAAAGTAAAAAATTGTGATAATTAACTTTCATATATGTAACATGTACATAAATAGATAGGACCTATGACAGTTCTAGGACAAGATATCCAGGTGTGCAGAAATTCTAGAAAGCAACCTGATGTGTGTTAATTGTCCCTTATATGCTGTTTGATATACAATGCTGAAAAACGTTTATTGGTGTAAGAAGATGGAATCCTTTGTTTAATCACTTGCCCGTTATAAATGTTTTATGTAAAAAGAAAGCAAATGACTATCCAGAAATACATTGAAAATCGTATCTTGATGGTGGTGGTGATAATGATAATGAAAATGTAATTACTTGCCTATATATACACATAGAGTACACGTATGAAAATAATTTAAATTCTGTTATTTATTAGAGCATTTCTAACAGCTAAGTCTGTAATAGGCATGCACTTGAAATACATAAATACAGAAGAAGACAAAAATTGACAGCAGCAACAGTTATAATAATAAGGAAGGAAAGAAAGAAAGAAAGAGAAAATGTAACAATTAATTGAATAGGATTACACAAAGGTAAAGTGTCATCTAGGAAATTGCATTGCTTCCAAAAATTTCAGCAAATTGACATTACTGTTAACAGCGCTGGCATGCCTGCCTGATTATTGCTTTCAGCGAAAATGAACAAGTCACTAATTAAGTTAGTGGGTGCACAAAGACCTACAGTATTTGCAATAGACTGGTATTTTATATTATCCTTTAAAAAGAAACGAAGGTGGCATTGTCTGGCAAAAAATGTTTTTTTTTGATTTTAGACATTCCAAGATCAGGTCATACTTACTGACTTACTCATGGAGCTGAGCTCTTCTGGAGAAGTCGCCAATTCTGCAGCTACTCAAGAATTTTGCAGCATTTTATGGAACCCGAAGGTTCATTACCGTGTTCACAAGAGCCCTCCACTAGTCCCTATCCTGACCCAGATCAGTGCAAGCCATCCATCAGGTCATACACTTGAGGAAAAATTGACTGTAACATAAATTTGCAAATTTTGTTTGTATTTTCTGAAACTTATTGGAGTCAACCAGTATAAGGCTATTTCAGACAGTCAGGGCAAGCTTTGACGGTATTAAAACAACGTACAGAACTATCAGACTATGTCAGGAAGAAGAGTTACATATTTTGAAGTGAGTGGGCTTTAGAAGCTTGGTACATGAGAAAATACATAATTAACATTTCGAAGAAAATACAGATTACTGGCAATCATAACACCGAAATCCCCTACCCAACTGCTATGCAAAATTAAAACATCACCAGTGTGATTGTTAGAATGAATACCATTAATTTTAAATCCAAAGATATAACAACTTTCAGAATGTTAAGACTCATGTAATTTTGAAAACACCACTTTTATTGCTTAGATATAATTTCTAAACATTCTTCTTCTTTCAAGGCTTTACTTTTGAGATCATCAGCAAATAATAAGGAATTATGGTGATAAATTTTGCCATTTTTTAATAAAAATAAATAAGAGGCCCAGAATGGAGCTTAGTGATATTCTAGGAATTATAGAAGAAACTTCCCTCATATGTGGACACATGCAGATGAAGATGATATATATCTATAATAATCTATGATAATTATTTTGGCTGCTGCTGTTGTCATTGTCATTATCATTATTATCATTGCTATACTTATACAGTTTTTGAACATCCTTGAAGCAGTGTCATTAATATAATGTAATGGTTTATTTTGCAGTACAGAGTAAATCCACAGGGTAAATGTTAAATGCAGATAAATTACTCTGTTTATATCATGGCAGAAATAATTATATTTCTTCCACAAAGAATAAGGACTTTGAGGACCATTAGACAAGGGATGGCATAGTTTGATAATGGTGACATAATGTATGTAAGCTGGTAGTATAATCAAATGTAACTGTTTTTCTCTAGAAGCAATACCAATTTTTCCAACATTTAATGAGGCAACCATTCAGATTTGATAGTATTTTGAACTTTGTTTTGGAAATTCTTATGTCTTTTGCCATGGATTATACACACCGTAAAATCAAAATCTGTTCCTTCTGAGTTTCAGAACCGTAGCATATGTCAGGCAGGTAAAAAGTCAGTTTACTAAGTTATGCTACACATGCGGCTAAAGCAGATTTTAATTTTGCATAATTTGATGGGGAGGGGGGCCATAGGCTCGGTGCATTTAAAATAGAAAATTGTTCATTCCTGTTGAGAAACTGTTCCGGTTCCTGGTGTCACTGTATTGGTACTTTTCCTATTCTTAAGGTGGAACGTTAATAGTGAATTAAGAAATGGGCTTATAAGTGTTAATTGGTTTTTATTTTGTTCATAGTGAGAACTTCAGTTACTTTATTTCTCAAATGAAAACAGAAATTATAACCATGAAAGTTCCTTCCTTTTAGACATAGAGTTCTATGGAACTAATTAATGTATCCATGTTAAATTGTCTTCCATCCTGTTGAATTAACTCTTTCATGGCATAGGAAGGTAGTACCTCTTGAAAAAAAAACTAAATGATTCAAATTAAGTACGTAATATTTTCTGATCTTCTGTGTAGAAATCAGTGTTCAGCATCATCAAGTTATGACAGACCTTGTAAAATGATCCTACACGACTCCTACATGCATTTGCTCTCTCTCTTCATATTGTTAGACTTTTCAGACCTCTGTGTGTTTCTGGAAGTGGTATGAAACACATGTTCAACTTTAGATATTGTATCCACTGCTCTGCTTCCACAAGACACAATATGACCTCATGTAGACTTATGTGAGTTGTATTACTTGTGAAAGTAACTATTTTTGTATTGTCTCTGATAAAATCAAATTCCTTTCTTAGGATGGTTCTTTTTTTGACTGTGGATGTATGCAGGTTTAATTGCACTTCATCTTTTCAAGAGAATTGAAAAATTATATATAAAATTGTGATTATCTTGACATTCTTAATAGAGAATTATAAAATATATGTGAATAAGTGCTTTATATGTTGCATACATTTAATGTCTCAGCCAGTGTTGTACTGGTAAATTCTTTCTTGGTACATTATTCATAAAACTGATCCTCATCCCAAGCTGCAGGTAAGCGGAGAGGAGAGAGGGTAGAGTAATGTGCCCATGGTACTGTATAGCTGCTAGCAACTGAATGTGGACTGGCCGGCCGGTCCTTTTAGAGATTATAATATATCTCTTATTGATTGTTGTATAGAATAATATTTACTCATAACATATTCACACCTTCATTGTGATTGTACCCTCTAGTACCATTGTGTGAGTATATTTGTGTTGTACATATATCATGTCACACATTTATATTTGTTTTCTGCTAGTGCTCAGATATGGAATTTTATGAATGAATGAGGCAGAACTTAAATTTGAGCTTATGTAACACTTGTCTGTATTTTAGACTAATTTCTTCATTGTCTCTCTGAGATAAATAGAATTTTTAAAAATATTTAGTAAATGTTATGTGAATAGATGTGGAAGAAATGTAATACAGCTACTAAGTTCCATTACTGAAGAACATACAAATGCTGTACAACAGTTTAGTTCAAAATTATTTTTAGCTTAAAAATGTGATCAAAAGTAATTAAAAAGAATAGAGGTGCCGCTTCCAGCAATCATCTACTTATCTGTCCGAGCAAATGCTTCTGACTTGCATTTCTGAGGTGCCCAGTTCAAATCTAGGACAGGACACAGACCATTTTGACAACTTTTTCATGGTTTTTCCTGAGCTCCTCTAGGTACATTCTGGGATAGTACCTCAAATTAGACCACAACCGCCTCCTTTCAAATCTGTTTCAATTCATTATTCACTGATGTTCCCACCATTTAACACTATATAATCTGAGCTACTGAGAGCATCATTACATAAGCCATAAATTAATGTACAGTAGTATCACGGACTTATGATTTAATGCGTTCCTGAAGTGGTTAGAAGTTAAAAACAAATCATAAGTAAAACCCATAATATTGGATGTATGGGGTCATGCTTTAACTGTGTTGTTTTTATTATAAAATCAGTAAATGGACATGAAATAATATACTAAACGTATTTAAAAATAAAAAAATAAGTGAATAAATGTTCTGACTTGGATCATTTAGAGTTAATATCTGAGCTACCAGAGACTTACAAACAAATTACCATTCTATCATAATCCAATACCTCCAGCACCTCAGCAAAGTCAGATAGAAGATCTTTGGTTATGGAAGATTTTAGGAGGAGTTGAACTTGGCAGTGGTTGCTGGAAGAGTAAGTGCTGGGCTTGTTGGCATTTTGATGAAGCTGTCCAAGGTGTAATGGACTGCTGCTCTTTTCTTGTCCCCATGGATCTCCTTAAAACCAGCAAGGCGATTTGTATGCCTTGTAATGAATGTTACCTTTTTCATATTAGGGTCATTTGTCTATAAGATGTTTGTCACAGCATCAGTATGCTGGAAAATTTCAACCAAAGCCTCCAGAATATGAGCTTTGAATCACGTGTCTGAAATTTTAGAGTATAACGCTAATGGGTGTTAATTTACTCAGATCATAAGTTGGGAAGTCACAGGTTTTGGTATGACTGTACCCGCTAGTAATGGAAATGTCACACCATAAGAAGTGTTGTGTGTTTATAGGTGACTAAGATAAACAAGCAGGAATATATATGGTGGAATTTACATTGAAAATAATCTCAAAATCAGCAGTGAGTGGTTGTATTGCATGTCTGCTTGTTTTTTATCTTCTGTCAGTACACAAGTGCAAACGAATTTGTATTTTAATGAACTGCAGGTATTGTAATGATTAGCTGAAAATGCTTTGTTCAGATACATGCTTCTAAGCATGAGCCTTGTTCAGCCTCTTCTCTACACATCATTTACGCTCACTAAACCTCATATAGATTTTCACCAGTATTTTCCATTAATTGTACCAAAAATATTTTGGCCCATGTACAAACACTATAAACTGAGAAAAATCTGATTATGTATTTAAATATTAAATTTCTTCATCAGATTTGTTGTACCACAAATAGTTGGCCAAAAGTAGTAACAATAATGGACCCCCCCGTTTCCTTTTATATTGTATTTCAGTTTTATATTTTTTTACTCATTTTGTACATTGTCAGTTGGTTTCCAAAAGGCCTGATGCCGTCTCCTTCAGTTCATTGAATCTTGTAACACAGCAAAATCCTGAAGATTTTATTTTTGCCTTCAATCATACCTGTAGAAATACAAAACATGATGTTCCTGTTGTTGGCAGGAACAGAAAAGACAATAAATTCCTGCATGATTTTTTACAAATGTAAGTTAACTTTGCAGTTATAGTTTATAAATTACAGTAAGGTATTTTTAATTTAATTTCTTCTCTAAGATGATGTCACTCTTTAATTTGTTATTTTGAGAAATACAGTACTTTTACACTTGCTATATGTGTAACAGAAGGCAAGAAACAATATTTAAATGGTTTGCACTCTTTCAGAACTTCATGGTGTCTGATTTTATGATTTTAATATTGTATTTGGAATTTTCTGGCCCTCATAACCATAACCTTAAATCACAACATTGATATCAATGTTGGTACTTCATCATTCTACATTTATACTAATCTCACTGTACTGATTCCACTTGTTACCGTGCTGAGTGGGTCTGCATTTTCTTCTGCTGATGGTTGATAGCCATATTTGATCCTTCAGTGCTATGAGACCATCTACACATGAAATATAATTAAATTTGGTTTTTAGATTTAGATACCAGGATACATATACCTAAACTGTTAACAAATCTATAAATTTACGTGGCATGAACAATTGTTTAAGTAGTTTTTATAATTGTGATGGGAACATGAGTAAATATTCGATCATAATTTTGTCATAATTGTTTTGATTCCATCATCTTTATCATCTTCCAATTTCTTATCTGCTTCATTCAGGCAAAGAGATTAGATTAAATAGTTCCCTGAAAGTGAATGATATTTTGTTAAATGAGTCTAATTCTATTTTATGTGGTTATCCAGTTTCATTGGGTAGGAGCATAGTGATCTTCGTCAACCTGTATCTTGTGTATGAATGTTAATGTGTGGATGAATTTGGAATGAAAGATATTTTATATTATAAAATTACATATTCTTGTCTATATGCCCGTATGGTACAATTTAACATACAGTATATTGTAAGAGGAAAATGTGTTGTAAATATTATTATCTTCATGTTATTTTCAGTGTCTTCTGTTTATGTTGGTCTATATATACACACAAACGCATGCATGCACATGAAGTGATTTCAGAATGCAGAATTATGGAAGGATTATATTTGATAATATGTAAGAAGAATCTTAAACACATCTCATAATTATTTTATTGTTATGAATATGTTTATTTACCCTGTGCTCATGATTACAATAGCCCTGTGTTAGTTTAGCATTTATTACTGTTTTATTTTTGAAGACTATGTAGTGTTATCACAATGTGTTATGTACAATATTATATCAACAATTCATAAAAAATTCTTGTATTTCACATGTTATGTTAATAACTGTTAACACACACTACCATGGTTATTGTCCCAGATAAATCTTGATTACACTGATCAGATTGGAAATTGGAGAATAAACAAGAGTGATTTCTGTCTACCAGAGTTGAATTTTTTATGACCATATTGAGAGCCCCACACCCTTCAGTATCCAGAATGTTAACTCTGTCTTTAACATTTGTCTGTCAAACTCCAAATATGCAAGACATGTGAAATGTCATTGCCAATAGTACATAACCAGTGTACCATAAGTACAAGGGCTATCTGGACAGTATCCATTTATTTTAGGCAACTGCTGTAGGACCATGGGAGAGCTAATGCATGCAAGGTTGCATCACATAACTGGTCACCTAGCATTTGTTCTTGTCTCTACAGAGAGTTAATGGTGTGTCCTATGACTGACAATACCTTTCACAAAACGATAAATTCCAAACGTTATATGAGATTGATTCTGTCTCCCTTCTTCAATCAACTGATTGATGAAATATCATACGGGTAATTTATGCAAGATGTCACGGCACATAATGCAAAAAAAAAATCTGTGGCTGCATTAGATGAAGTCTTCAACCAGCGAGTCAAAAGTTGAGGAATGTGGCCTCTGAAATTATCAGATTTAAATCCTTGTGACATATTTGTGAGGCATGCTGAAAGGAAAAGTGCATGTGAAAAATCTGTACTCCTTGGAAGAAATTTAAGAAAATATTAGGCATGACATTCTGTCTATTACTGTATAGCAACTTCGATGTGTGTCTAGAAACGTGTTTTCACGATGTGAGCCATGCTTGGAAGCAGAGCGTCGTCACTTCCAGACATGTATAATAGTGTAACTTACACTACAGCAGAAAATCGGGTCGCAAATTAGCGCCTACCGCAGCAGCTCTATGCGAGAAGAATACCGTCAGCTCTGTCCATCAGTCTAAAGATGATGTACCAATATGTCTGATGGAAGAGTGCTCACAAACAAAACAGCTAGCAAAGCGCCTGATCAGTACATGGATGTTGACTGCTGTTGTTTTCAAAAGGGCGTTCCTGGCGTGTTGTCCGTCTATGCCTTTCCGGGGCGGACAGTGCTTGTCGCTTTTACGACTGGGCTCCAATGGGCACCCAGCTGTAGCAATAGCAACTGGCTACGGACTGTACGACCGATAGGTCGGAATTCGAGTCCCGGTAGGATCAGGAATTTTCTCTTCTCCACGTCGTCCACCCAACCTCCTATCCAATGGGTACCGGGGGGGTAAAGCGCCTTGGGCGTGAAGATGACCACTCACCTCCGGCCAGCGCCGAGGTCAAGAATGTCAAGAAGACGTGAATCTTTATATTCACCGCCCATACGCCTTCATGGCCGCAGCAACCTTCGTATGAAAACTTAGCACCATTTGACATAATACTTGCGCTAGCAGCGACGTCTAGTCCTGTGAAGTGGGCTGTTTGGTGTATTTATTTCCCCATGGATGGCAGCAATGCAGAGTAATTGTATTTTCACCGGTGATAACCGAATTTCTCGGAACATGGTTGGAATTTATCCGTTTGGCACATTTGCTAGTCATCTGGGTGCATACTAATCTGTGATAGTGATCTTCGTTTGTTGACATGTGAAAATTGCGAGGGCGAACAAAATTACACAAATGAAAAGTGTAAGTAGCTCTTCATATAAGGTAATTTTTAAGGAGATGTGGCTTTGTTGCGTAATTTTTTACTTACCACGGAAATTGCATATATGTTTAAATAGCTGGCGTACCATCAACCTTCTTCAAAATCGTGCAATATTATTGCGATGAATAATTTGTAGCGCGCACTGTATAAGTAAAATTTTCCTTTTAAGGCCCTGCGAGGCTCCCGATTCCGAAGTTCTTGAGGCAATTTTGCTACAGAAGTAGTGAACTGTTAGGAATATACTAGTGGAAACGTGGTTTCTCAGTTCCTTATTCGAAAGTAATTTCTGCGACTGGACTTTTATCACCGACAACACAAACCGGAGAAACTGTGACTGAAGCAACATGTATCGATTGTTGGATTTCATTTTCCCCTATCTTGAGCCTCCAGAAGTGCTGGTGTGTCATAACCGTTTATCAGTCTTGTCTCTCCTTGAACCCGTACATTTCATAACTTCGTACGATATTATGTGTTGGCCCAACCGGTTCGTGTGACGATATTGCCGTGCAGTTGCAAATTAGGCATAATTCCCTTACTAATATTTTGTAGTTCGAAAACAGTTGGAAAATCCACTTACCATAGCAGGTCCGTAATATTTCAGTGCCACAAAATTAAGATTAAACCAGACACCAGCAGCATGGTATGTTAAACTGTAGAGGAAACAAGGAAAGCGTTATGAATATTTTTCATTTCCATCGTTATTAAAGTTAACTTGTACGCTTCTCCAAGTGTAATTAGAATGATCAAGTCAAGGAGGATGAGGTGGGCAGGGCATGTAGCACGAATGGGGGATATGAGGAATGTATATAGGATATTGGTGGGAAAGCCAGAAGTGAAGAGACCACTGGGAAGACCAAGGCTTAGGTGGATGGACTATATTAAAATGGATCTTAGCGAGAAAGGATAGGATGGTATGGATTGGATTAATCTGGCTCAGGATAGGGACCAGTGGAGGGCTCTTGTGAACACGGTAATGAGCCTTCAGGTTCCCTAAAGTGTTGGGAAATTCTTGAGTAGCTGCAGAATTGGTGGTTTCGCAAGAAAGTACCTGGAATGAAGTTTTTTTTGGGGGGGGGGGTNNNTGGGGGGCAGAGTGAGGATAGGAAATTTAAATATGTTATGTTATGAATGTCAGTGTCCAGTGTATAGTTGTGACTTTGTTGTTAATAAATAGTTATGCAATCAAATAACATCACTTCAATGTTGTGTACAGGTGATGGATTAATGTAATCAGATCCATTGTTATATTTGGTGCCTGTTTTTGTATGTTGACTTTCATTTTCAGGAATAACTTTGTTTTGAGTCTTCAAGCCAGTCTTGGATATGCAGAATGGCAAATGCAGCTGTACAGAAGACTGTGAAGAAAGCTCCAAAGGCAGCTGAATTGTTGCTAGTGTTAATATGTGCTCTTTCCCTTCCTTTGTCCATGATCATGTGGATTGGGAATCTTGCATTTTCCTTTTTCACAGGTGGTGCAAATGCAGTTCACCATGAAGGTATGAATGTGATTTCATTAATTTCTTTTTAGTATTGCTCTTTGGCATGTATGCAGTATTGTATGCTTGACATTTCCATATTGAAAATAAGTTATAATGTCAAAGATCAACTAACGTGTTGTAGACGGTTTGTCAGGTTTATGACAGTAGATGTTATGATCTGGATGTTAAATAATGTCACCTTTTAGACAAATCTGTCTTCCAGTGTATTGTATATTCAGAATGCTGCAGTGACTGATACTAAACTGTCCCTCTCTGTCTTTCCCTTCCTCAGCATTCTACCAGTTGCACCATTAAGGAGAGACAGAGAGAGAGTAAAAATTAATAGTGGTGATTGTTGTTGCGGTGGCGGTAGTGCCATTATTTTGTACCAGATTATGTTGTGGAGAGGCAGTGTGGTCCACAGACATCTGACTGAGAAAGTGCACCAGCTCAGTTGGGTGGTGGAAGTGGTGGTGACAGGAGGGGCAGGGGTGGTGGTAGAGGTAATGTTAGTGTCATTATTTTGTACCAGTTTAAGTTGTGGAGAGACAGCATGGTCCAGGGACTTCTGATTGAGAAAGTGCACCAGGCGAGTTGGGTACAGTCACAAACAAAATCTCTTGCATTTGAAGAGACCAGCTTAAGCTTGAAAGCTGCTGTTCAGTATCGATGCTGCCAAGATTAACAAAGTTGCATTTGAAGGCCTGTGTTGATGGATGTAATCGAGCTCAAAATATAGTTTCACTATTACAGTGGAGATTCTGAATCCGCAATAAGAAAATTAAAATTTTGTTCTGCATATCAACACATTGAAACATAATGTTAGTGGTGATGTGTTTGACTTGCATATGGGGGATACATAGCAGTCATGGAATTCTGACAACTTTTCATATATTTCCTGAGACTCTTCAGACATATTTTAAAATATGCCAAAAATGCAAATATTTGATTCATGGCTGGTAAAATTTGTCATTACATTTTATGATTCTTGTATGAATCAAACCTCAGGTTAAGACTTGGCTTAGAGAAATGTGTGTACAATTACAGATGGCATTGTAATCCCTCCAACAAGATGGCTTGTTTCGATAGTGACACCATTTGCAGTTGCAGCATGGGGCATTCGCAAGAAGAGTTTAGTTATCTCTGGTGCTGTCCTTGGTAAGTATTCCATACTTTGGCCATTTCTTTGGATGTACACAACAGAAAACTTCAGAATGTGCCTATTGACATCATGATGTGTGTCAGTGTGTCTGTATGTAAAAACTTGAGAACCACTTAACAGATTTTCATTGAATTTGATAGAGGGGAGTTGTACTAAAATTTATTGAAACATTCCAGCTTATTTTGAATTGTTTCATTTTGGTCCGTTACACTATCAATCACAAAGTTAATAGAGAGTCCGTCGAGTGTAACAATTTGTAGGTCACTTTTTATTATTATTATTATATCTTATATATATTATATATATAATATATTCATTCATTCATCAGTAATCTGTCAGATGACAGGTCCACAGCCTCTTCCAAAACAGTTTCTCCACTTAATGCGATCTT